TGCGCCGATTTTCGTACGGGACAGAGTGGACCACCTCGAAACCGCGTTAACGAGTCGAGTCTCGCGGTTGACACACATTTGTATCTTCGTGCACGGGCGTTTTGCTCGGCAATTAAACGGTTCGTTCGTTAGCCACCAAAAAATTAATTGGCCGCGGTGTATAATTAGTTGCGTGCTGAGGCAGCCGTGTATGCACATACACATGCGCGCGTGTTCCCCTGTACAAAACGTTATTACAAGCACGTTACAAGTTTAGCAGGAACGTTACGGATTACAGGGATATTTGATCCCTTATCCTCGTTGCTTCGAATACTTCAGCCTTGAAATCGAATCAGTTTTCAGGACAGAGACCGCGCGATTCGTGCCTTCGCCTTCGTGAACACTCTTTAAATCTCGAGTATTTTTCCTCCCGTATCCCGAAGACACGGAGAAAAATCGTGTCCGAGTATCGGAAGCGCAATTTGTCGCGGGAGCGTGGAAATTGCATGCGCACGGTGCTGCCGCTTCTTCAGTGAAGCTTGAGAAGATAATTAGGAGGAGGGATTAATGGATCGGAGTGTTTAGCTTCTCTCGTGGCATTAGCACGGTGTAAAGCGCATCATCCTCTATGCATCGTTATACATAGCTAATGACGAGCTTTCACGGAAGTTCCTCGCGCTGTGTGTGTGTGTGTGTGTGTGTGTGCAACGCGCGCGTTAATTCCAATTTATTAAAAATTCCAATCGCCGACAATTATTACGTTACGAACGTGCGGCGACGCGGCTAACAGTTCATGGCAACGCGACAAATACCCGCGACCCACACAGTTCCTCTCCTCTCCTCTCCTCTCTCTCTCCCGCCGACTCGCTGCGTGTTAGCGGGGCTCGAGAGCCCGAATTTCGGTGTTTACCTTTAACAGTATAGCAGAGAAACGGTACTACAATGGAGGCAGCAGGAAGAGCCTCCAGGAGGAAACCCACCACCGGAATCGCCTGTCTGGCAATAAAGGTCGACGCAAAGGTTGACGCAACGATGAGCGCTCGGGCGTTCGTCACGTTCGCGATGATCTCGGGGTCAAGTAGTGGTCGGGGACGAGTAAGGGTCACAGGACAATAGGCAAATATATCTCGGTACCTCTCAGCCTTTCGAAGCCGAGTGAACTACTTCGGGCGATCAGGTCGCGATCTGCGAGAGATGCAGAACGCGACGATCTCCGAAACAGGTCGCGCGGGCGGAGAGAGGCGGGCCGCTGCGCAGAGAAGCAATTTCGTCAGCTGGTGATTGCGTGTCTCGCCAGCACGAAGCTGGCAGTCGCTCGCGACGGAAAAGCTTGCGACGCGGCGATAACGCACAGCCTTAGCGAACAACAACGGCGACGACTTCTCACGCACCGAGCGCGTTAACAGCTTGTTAATCGATGATAGCTTTCGCGCTCGCATTTCGAGAAAGCGCGTACAAATGGACGGCGCGGCCGACGAGGGACGACGAGAGCGAGACGAAGGATGGATCCTTGGTGATTTTTGGGTCGCGCGATATAGAGGACAAATCTTTTATGGCCCAGGGACCGTGACGGCGAAACGCTCTAACGGACGGACTGGCCGCGAGGAAGAGGAGGAGCAGGAGGAGCAGGAGGAGCAGGAGGAGGAGGAGGAGGAGGAGGAGAGACCCAAATCCATCGCGAACAAAAGCGGCTCTAATTTGTTCCGAACCGGCACACTTGCAGCTCGAAACTGGAGCGAAGTGGTAATGCATAAGCGAACGCGCCCGCGAAACTGCGCGGCGCGCAGCGCGAAACGATCAATCGAGTCTCGTCCGTAACGAGTCACTCCGGCGACCGTGGACTCGCGACGAAAGTGAAATCGCGAAAGTCCACTTTTAGACACGTGCAAATCGGTGCGCGCCTAAGAGTCCAGGCTTTATTAACATAGTCCTCGGCCTCGGCGTGCGCGTTTCGCGCTGCGTTACGTAAGGTGCTCTTTGTATCGAGCTGCTCAAGTGGATTCCAGCGAAAGAGCGTGACTCGTGACTCGTCGCGGAAGCGGATCATTTTCGTAAGAAGATCTCGAGATTGGCCGGTCCGATTCGATCGAGCGGCCGATGCTGCGCCTCCACGCGATCAGCGTGGAGGAAAAGATTCACTTCCTCTTACGATATCAGCGCGCGTATTCAAGTAACAAAGCGAACGCTGCGGTTGCTTCTTCGGGATAATTCTTTCAGGCCGTGGCGCGAGGGCACGAAAAATCGAAAATCAAGAGAGCAAACGAGATACGTGTAAAAAAAGTCGAAAGGAGAGAGACTGCTTCGCGCAAGGATAATCAGTCTGCTAATGTTTGTTACACGTGCAAAAGTTTGTACTCGCGCTCGTGCGTTATTTTAAGACAGGAGGATAATTTCAAGAGCTCACAAGGCGAGTGGGGCTCTTTCCGCGAGAGACCTACGAGAGAACAGCTCTCCAGGAGCTCGTCGTCCGATGGATTTCTAGTTTCGTGCGTCGGAGGAGGAGGCCGCGACACTCGCGAGATGTACGTCGAGAAGCTGCGAGTCGAGCGATGAAGGTGGAGCGCGTGTTTAGGAGGCGCGCGACTAATCAGTGAAAGTGGCGCGTTCGATCACGGCAAGTGGTTACGGTTATTTTAAGAAGGAATCGCCTCGACCCAGTTCACACGTGAGGGGGGGGGGGGAGGGTGGGATTCCACCGCGGACAGGCTAATCGCCGATGAGCCATCGCCACGGCAAGCGAAATGCGAAAACCGCCCGTGCATCCTCGTGCGCATTCGTTATCCATTACGGTTATCCTCTAACCTAAGTGGATGGACTATGCCTCCTTCGCCTTCCTCCTTAGTGGCATACTTCTTTCGCTGGCTGATAACAATTCTATCGGGAATCGATGATCGCCGGGAAAGAGGCGAGTCGGTCCCCGCGTCGTGTACTCTTCCATTGCCCCCCTTTTCCCAGTCATTATCTGGGATTGTATAAATATTCAAAAGGCGCTGCGCGCACGAGACGAGCGTAGAATGCGTCCTAATTCTTCGGCTATCTGTTAGATGTATCCCAGACTTTTACGGTCAAGAAACACTCGGTAATTACTTTAATAGAAACTTCCATTTGCTTTCGTTCGTTGGATACGCGGAGATAGGATATGCTGTTAGGGAAGAAGTTGGGCCGCTTGCCGAGTTCGCGCGAAATAAGACGAGCGAGAGGGGAGACGAAGAAATCAACGCAATGAGTTATTTGCACTCGGCGAATCTAGAGACGCCTGTGTATTCAAAAGTGCCTGGCAACTCGATCGCACGATATCGGGACTTTCTAATAACATTAACTCCTCCGGCTATTGATTATATTGTTTTCGATCTAGCGCGCTCGCCTACTTCTGGAAGCGGCGATAATTCTTGTATTAGCAGTCGGTATTGCTCGTTACGAGCGATCATCCATTCCTAGAGACTAATTTCATCCGCGAGAGGATGCAAGCGTATTAGCGCTTAAAATTGCTTTCGCGCGCCAGGCGCGGCGAGAGACTTTCTATCGATACCGCGAGATTAAAACTTTCCAATCTTTTGCGCGTTTCATCGGATCATCGCATGATTCACTGTACCTGACAGCGAGCTGTTTCATGAAACCCGAATACATGACAAATCGCGATTGTCAGCCGGTAACTTTCCCGAATATCGGTTTCAGGGAACAAGAGACACACCGTCATTTCCAGCCGTCATCCCATGATTTTACGAATTTCAACACTTTCTAATCAGCCGTTGCTTCGCACCGAAATTCAACGATCCTCTTCATAAGCTGAGTATTCTCTCTCAAAATCTCTCTCAAGAAGAAAAAGAAAAACGAAAAAGAAAAAAAGGAGAAATTAGCATTCGGACAGCGGAATTCTTTCAAGCTACGTCGCTGCGTAACCCCGAAAATTGTCATCGTTCGGTGCTGGTGATTCGTGCGGATTTCCGTATCTCTTGGTTACAAACTCAGCGCCAGATGCAGCGATCAGATTTTCAGAGCGAGGTAGTTAGACGTAATTTACAGGAGAGACAAATGAAGTCTGGAATCAGACGGCCGCGTTTAATCCTTTAACGCTTTTACCAGTAACTATAGTTAGCTACAGAAACGCATTTAAGAATCCATATAACTTAGTCAAGAAAGAAGATATCTTCGTTTTCCTTGCACCGCTAAAGGTAAGGGTGAATTCTTCTTCTAAAAAAGGGTATATAGATTGCAAATTTGATTTAGTCTGTTTTCAGCTCAGTTTTCGTGATAACATGTTTTGTCAAATTCCAAGTAGGCATAGTTAGCATTGTTACTGACATCTAGAAGTGCACTATAAATGAATAGATTGGTATCTGTTGTAATTTCATACATTTGGAAGCTTTCTCAGATGCGAAATGTGAAATTAAAAGAATACAGAAATTCAAAATGCCGAATCTAATATGGTGAACACGAAAATGAAGAAATCAAGCTATTTTCGTGAAACCTGGTGACCTACCGTCTTTTATGCGGCGGAAAATGAAGGGACGATTGACTGTCTAAATGGTGATCTATAAGATATTCTTCTGAAATAGTAAGCTTGAAATAGACGCTCTGAATGATATAGTAAAGTTTCAAGTTTCAAAAATGTCAAGCTGACTATCAGAGTTATGTCGTATAGATTACCCTTCATTTTTCCCTGTATAGGTTGCTCATTTCGTGTATGCTTTTAGGACCCAAGTCATATTTACCGATAAATAAAAAACGAACGATAAAAAGAACCAATATAAAATTCTGATATTTCTCTTGGTTATCACTACTTACAGACTCAGAGTTCAAAAAAGCTCAAATTTTATTTTCAAAACACTTGTGAAAAAGTCGGGCGTTAAAGGGTCAGCACCGACAGAGCCGCCGAAGTACGACGGCTTCCGGCTTCAACCTGTCCCGTCAGCCAGCAGCTCCAGAGTTCTCAAATGAAGGCGCGGAACGAAATCTTCGTCGGCGCGCGACTGGATGTTTCGGATTTAGCCTGGATGCCGCGAGTTCGAAAATCGACTCACCGATTTGGAGAAGCTGTGACGGTGTTCCTCACACACACAGTGCACCACCGGCCGTATCACACGACCCTCAGTCGACCGTCATTCCCGGTCTCTGCCACCTTCTCTGCCGTCGATCGTTCCCGCAAAGAAGAACTCGAGAGGCTGCGCTCGCACATTCGCAGTTGATCCGGCAATCGAAGGTGCGCGCGCGATGCGCATCGCACTCGATCTCGATCAGTCCTGTCCTCCGCGATGTCGGTCTGCGACCGTTAAGCACATGAATCGCGAAATGAAGCTTCGGTGTCAAGAGAGTGACCAGGGAACCGAAGGCCACCTCGCCGAGATCCGATGTTCTCCGGAGGGTAGCAACAACGCGACCGATCGCGACGCCGAAATGTCCTCGGCGACATTCAGTCGTCGGTTCCTCAGCACCTCGTGATCGGCAGCACTCGGTCTCGTCTCATGATCGGCGTACTTGCTCTCGAGAGACGACCGGATCTCGCGCGAGTTGTGAGGCGAGAGACGAGGAAGGAAAGGTAGGAAGCGCGAAGGAAAAACCGACGAGAGAGAGAGAGAGAGAGAGAGAGAGAGAGAGAGAGAGAGAGACTGAAAATTCCCTCGCTGTACGCGCGAGAGATCCTCGCGCACTTGGTGTTCCTTGTACTCGGCGTGCACGCGGTTCGACTACCGGTCGCGCTTTGAGGATATCGCCTCATTGCGTCCAGCGTGGACGAGGAAGCCGAGAAGGAGGTAGTAGGGAGCCTCGTGCCGACCGCCACTGCAACAACCACGTGTCGTCTCCCGCCAGGATTCCACGAGATGGATCCCCCGGCATGGCCGCGCCGGATGCGATTGGATACGACCGACTCGCCGCGCGTCTCGGAGAGAGAAACTATGACTTTTTCTCGCCTCGACAATGCAAGCAAAATTTTTGCCGCTGCACGTAGCTAACGAATTTTACCAAGCGGCCGTGCGACGTGACGGCGATCGAAATAGCCGCGGAGAATCCCGCGAGTCCGCGGGGTCGCGTCAAGTGATGATAAAAATTCCGCTGTTCGCCGACGGGCTTGAACTGGCCGATTCTGGCGTCTTCGCGCGGTAAGCTGACGAAGAGAAAACTGCCGAATGCTCTTGGCATCCGATCCACCTGGAGTACAACGCGCATTTGACGTAACGACGAGTGAAAATGATTTTTCTTTCTTCAATTACGACGTTCATTAAATACTAATTGCGTGATTACCGCCTCGCATGTGGAAAATTGTATCGCGTGATAATTTTTCTCATTATCGTGCAAAAATTCAGTCCCCCCGTCCACCACGACCTAGACTCCGAACTTCATTTCATTCATCGGGCTTCTGCTCCGGCGAATGACTCGTCGGACGAGTCGACCAGCGGGAAAAATCGCCGGCGTGCCGCCGCCGCCGCCGCCGCCGCCGCCGCCGCCGCCGCCGCCGCCAACGGCGTGTAAGAACGCGAGATAACGAAGCGAAGCGGAAATGCTTTTTTCGATATATTAAACCGTCGGCGCGAATAATTAAAAAGGAGCGATGAGAAAAACGCATCGGATTCCTTTCGCTCACGTGTACGCGCTCGTTTTGCGATCAGCGCTCATCTGACTGTGCAAGAGAAAGAGAAAGACAGAGAGAACGACAGAGGAGAGAAGAGAAAAAGGGAGGGAGGGGGAGAGAGAGAGAGAGAGAGAGAGAGAGAGAGAGAGAGAGACATCGCGAAGAGAGATAATGAGCGTATTTACGCGTACATACGTACGCCGCGCCGCAGAGAGGTGCACGCGCGTAATTGCCAAGCAGTACCGTCCCTCTCGCTTTTGGACGAAGTGGGTCGTTCTCTTGAGGAACAGTCGGCGAGGGGCCGACGGCCTTCTCTTCTCTCTCTCTCTCTCTCTCTCTCTCTCTCTCTCTCTCTCTCTCTTGGTATCCGTCGGCCGTCACTCCACTTCCGCGTCAATCGCGAGTTTTCCGCGAGTCTCGGCGAGATCCTCTTAATTTAACGGGGAAAACATCGGCACGAAACCGCAAACTGTTTCATCGATCGAGTCTCCCCAGATAAGTCCCCGCGTGCGGATCATCGGTATCGGCTCGAATATCTCATGCAGAAAATTGTACCTACAGCTTCGGACGCTCGCGTCGCTCGCGAGCGTAAGAAATCTCTCGCGCACCTACACCGCGAACGCGAGGGAAAAAAGGATCGCGCGGACGAGAGCCGCGTGTAAGCGAAATATGTTAAATTAAAACGAATCACACGGTAAGTCGAGGGGTTGCGAGACGCGAGTTAACTCCGCGTCCTCTCCGCGTTTATCGCCGAGATGCGCGCTCGCGCTCGCGGGATAACGAGAATGGTGTTTCCATTTCAGCGTAACAACTAATAGTAGTGGTAGTAGTAGTTCTTTGCTGGCTCCGGATTGCATTCGGCTTTGTTCGTACGCCATTTTCCGGTAGTATGAAGGTAAAAGAAAGAAAAACAGGAACAACGCGTACGCAGTCCCCACGATCGAAAAATGTGCCTAGTTACAGGAACCAGATAGATCCGACCGCCACGGAGGCGAACAAAAGACTTAGCGTAACAATCAGAGATGTGCGAACTATTCGAATTCGAATCGAATCGAATCGAGTCTAATGTAATTCAACTGATAATTAATAACTTGATTGTAAATTACTTTAAATATTTAAATGTATATTTTACTTTAAGATGATATTACAATATATCAATATTCCCTTTCGTATTAAAATCTTCCATCATTATTTGCATGTTTAATAGTCATGTTAAATTTTTTAATGATTCGATTCGATTTCATTCGATTCGATTCGAATTCAAGTGAAATTTCATAGATTCGATTCGACGTGAGAATTTTTGATTCGCATATCTCTAGTAACGACAAACGATCGATTAATTGCGCTGACTCATGACAAGGTAAAAAATTGCCAACGCGATAATGCGGCAATTACGTCGCTCTCAATCGAAGGGTATTTGACCTCGGTCTCCATTTTTTCGGCCTGTCACGATCGGTCGGGCAAATAAATCAGTCGCCTCGTCAAAGTTGCGCACGTCGCTTCTCCTAATACACACCGGCGCGACTCGTCGTCGATTAATTTCACAGTGACGTAAATCCATCATCGCGCCCCGCGCCGTGGGATAATCAGGATTAACGACGAGCGACGGCGAATATCTGTCAGGATAACGCAACGTCCTCGGTGGAAAAGCCGAGAGCACGGCGATTCCCTTTCGTCGGGTGTGTAACAAGATTTCAGCTTCACCTTACTTTTCACGACGAGAGGCGAAACAAGGCCATTGGAAAGCAGTATTCTGGATCAGCGATTTGAGCAGCGTCTCGCGGACTGAACGGAAGAACGCGCGGAAAAATGCAGATTTCGACGACGATGGCGTCCGAGCGACGTGAAGGAGATGCGCTGCATAGGCAAAGCGGTCGTGAGAACGAGCGCGAGTCTTCAAGGGGACTGGTGGGTCAGATCGCTGAAAAATCGTGCTCGTTTTTGATAATATTTATGTGACGAACTGAATAAATGTGCAAGAATGAAAATTTTAGGTATATTTATACGACATATGAAGAGTAGAAAAATTTTGTTCATTAACAAATTAACAAATACTCGTATAAATATACGATATATATAGCTGAAATATACTCTCCTTGTTTCTTCAAGTTATCGTTTTTGCAGTAATATCTCGGCTCTCGATGGTCCGCGATCAGAGCGAATTTCAGCTAGAAATCTTGAGGAACCTTATCATTATCCGGTGAACCACTGCAAGAAACAATCGAGCAAAATTAACAAAATTGCAGGCTATTATTAGGAAAAAATTCCAATTTTTCAGTTCTTTTGCAATAAAAAAATTATTACCTCGAAATGAAATATTTTGACAGAGTTGTCCGTGGCTCGCCCGAAAGCCAGAGACGAACAAATATTATTGCTTTAAAATTTCAAATCGATACGAAGCTCAGTTTCGGAGAAATCACTGCGAAAAGTTGAACGATAAAATTTCGAGGAAAACGCGTTTAAAATTTAAGTGGACGTATATTTATATGAGTGTTTGTTTAAAAGCGAACATTTTCTACTTTTCATATGTTATGTAAATATATGTAAAATTTTCATTCTTGCACATTTATTGAGTTCGTCACAAAATCATTACGTAAAACAAGCACGATTTTTCGATAATCTGACCCTGCAGTCCGCTCAATCGGTCCCGTTCTTTTCGAATGATGAGAAACGCCGAGATTCCTACATTTTCATTGGTCACGAACGTTGCTGAGGCGCAACAGGACGTTCGATTTTCAGCAATCACAACGACGTCCTCCGGCTCACAACTCGCGCCAGGAGATCGCGGCGAAGTGGACGAAAAGCCGCGGAGCCGCGGAGGAAAGGGCAAGGAGGGTTAAAAGGCCAAACGAAATCTCTGGAAGACGCAAGATCCAGGTTGCAAGGAAGACATCGCACGAAGGTGCGCGAGTCATCCTCCGGGGGGAAGAATCCGTCAATAGAGGAGACGCGCACACCACGAAGCGGTCAATCGCGAGTGAAATTTCAGCGGACTCGAGCGCTGGAGACGCTCGCTCGCGCCGCTAATTAGCTGACAATTGTAAGCGAAGTAGCTTACGAATCACCGCGCGATGGACTTTCTTCTTCTCCGCCCCGCTGACTATGATAGCCCCTCTCTCCCCGTGAAAACGCCTGCGTTAATTAGCGCTGGCGCGCGCTCCTTTGTATTAAACACGCCGTCTAATTGCGAAGCGAGCTGAGACTCGTACTGTTGAGCTAGATCCAGCCAAGTAGCGGGAAAGGCTCGCCTACGTAAAATGTGCCTTGCGATTCAGACTGGAAATGCATACACGGAGGTGAAGCCGTGATGAAACCGAGATTTTTTTCGAGAATGTTCGCGCGAATCGCGGGGCTGTTGTCCCATAATTATACGCGGTGACACAATTAATTACCGAGCGAACGCTCGGTCGATGGACTTACGGCGGAACGTCCCGTAAATCATCATCTTAGGAGGTGGCGCGGCGCAGCTCCGCAGGACGGGGATGGGACGTTTCTCCAGGCAACGAGAGCACAGCCTACCTGCATCGTCGTCCTCGTCGTCGTCGTCGTCGTCGTCGTCGTCGTCGTCATCCGACGAATTGTCGTGCGCGCGATCCGCGCGATCGTCGCCGACGGTCTCGCTGCCCGGGAATGTCGGCGACGACGACACGGCGTAACGGAAGACCCGACTGCCCATAAATCGTGGCCCATCACGCTCCGATTTCAAGTCGGAACTCGGCGCACGGCTACGATTAACGCGGTAACCCAGAGACAGAGAGAGTGAGAGAGAGAGAGAGAGAGAGAGAGAGAGAGAGAAAAGGCAGGCCGGGTCCCACCTTCCGGCGGGATTCCCGCCTCATTTCGGATGCGTCCGTTGCCCCGAAGATGCATGCTCGTCTTTCGGATGATCATCTCGCCAGCCGGGCTCACCGCACGACGCCCGGTGACTTAGAAAGGTATGTGCCCTGCCCTGCCCCCCTGCCAACCCCCGACTGCGCACTGATAAATGCCCAAAATTACCGGTTAGGCTGGTATCGGGCTCGTTAATTGCCGCTCGTTACGCAGGGCAACGTGCGGAAGGTAGCGAAGAGCGACAGGGGAGACCCACCTTCAACTACTACGACGACGACGACGACGACGACGACGACGACGACGACGGAACGGACTGCGAACGATAACCGCTCTTGCGGATTTCTCTCTTTCTCTCGTCCCCCGCCCGCCCACCTCCCCCCTCTCTCTCTCTCCATCGGGCCATT